ATTTTTAAAAAGCACTTGTCCTCGCTTGATTCAGTGCAATTTTTGTTAATTTATTACTGCTTAGTTAATTACATTTTTGAACTTTCTCTCGGTAAATCCTTTTCTACTGTAAAATGCTTTCAGAGTATAATGTATGTTATGGACATTTAAGGATAGAGAATTTGGTCCTATTAGGGACGGAAACCCTTAATCGTGTAAAAAAAATCAAACATTTCTAAGTTGCGGGATTTTTTTTCGTGGATCTTTGGTCAATGGTTGGGCTAAATCAGAGATCCAATTTTTGCAAACTAAGGAAAATGTGGACAGGAAATTAAAATCTTCTGCAGAACAGCAGGATCATTATACTCATATTGATATGGAAGCACATTATTGTACATTTTGTACGTTTTGTACATTCCATTTTGAGAAAATCGTAGTTCCAATAGGTCTAGGTATTGGTCCATAATGAAGTCAACATTTCTGTGATAATTATTATTTCTTTTAAATCTGAAGAATAGTAGGGAAAAAGTGATCATTGAGATTTATGAACCTCTTGTAGATTAAACATGATATCCGAGGAGCAAATTCATACACTTATGATAATAATCATATTTTGCAGATAGACGAAGATGCTGTCCGAGGCATGACGGATTCAGATTTATCGGAATACCTCCCGAAGAAAGGAGATCGATTTGCCTTAAAAGACTTTCTTACCCAAGCATTCAATAAACCGAAAACAAGAAAATCCAGTCTGATGGATCGATTAAGAGATCGACTACGAAGTAGCAGGGCCAACTCTGCAGAAACGTGTACTGATGATCCAGAATCCACCGTAAAGAAAATTCCCAAGTTAAGTGCTAAGAAAGAAGTACATAAAGTTCATCTTGGGTGGTACCACTTCGATAAAAAGAAGAAGGTTTATCTGCATGTAAGAGCAAAGGCAGGGGGAGGAAAAAGAACATTGATGTTAAACAAAAACATGAACAAAGAATCCATTATAAAAGAATGCTTGGATCTTTTTTTCCCCAATGGGAAAAGTCAGCATGGAGAACTGAAGAACATGGAAGTTGAATTAACAGATTTCCAGCTTAAACCTTTAGAGGATGAAGAAACAACCTTGGGTGATATAATAGACAAGGCTAAACTACAATTTATCCACTTTTACTTACGCACCAGACTCCAAAAGCAAATTTCAGATGATAGTGATGATGATGAAAAGCAGAAAGAGGAAAAACGTGAACAAAAGTTAAGTACAATAAGCACATTGCCTATATTATGTAATGCTAGCGAGAAGTGTACAGAATCCAAAGATGAACCAAATGAGATCAGTGAAGGAGCTAAAAAAAATGAAGAAGACCCAAAGTCTAGTATTTCTACCCCTTCGACAATTCCATGTAAAGATAGTCAACAAACTACAGAATCAAATGACAAGCAGGTGGGGAGTATTGTTGGAGACGAAGGTGGTGTCCTCATGAAACTACGTTCTTCTAATCCCAGTTCAGCAGATCAGAATGGCAGCTCACCATTACCTGACCCTCTTTTCTTTCCAGTTTGGGAAGACAGTTTGGAGGAAGTGGCCTTCACACACGCTGAGCCAATATTACAAACTGTTCGTGAGCCTAAAGAATTTGGAATTATTGTCCACAGGGGTCAAGTTCTGCGAGAACTTATCAAGATATTCAAAGACAACCCAGATGTTGACTTTACAAAAGACATCATAACTGCCACCATTATTCTTCCAAATGGGGAAAGAGAACAGGCTTATGACAGTGGGGGTGTCATGAGGGATATGCTGACTGAATTCTGGGACGACTTCTATGAACAGTGCACCACTGGCACAAATTTGAAAGTCCCATGTCTACGCCACGATATGGAGGCGGCAGATTGGAAAGCTGTCCGAAGAGTTATAGCATTAGGATGGATTCTTCAGAAGGTGCTACCCATTCGACTGGCTCCAAATTTTCTAAAATCGTCGTTGTATGGAATTGCTAGTGACAGACTTAGGGAAGAATTTCTTCAATTCATTCCCAGCAGTGAAAGTATGGTTCTTTCCAGTGCACTTGAAGGCATGGAAAATGTCGAAATGGACGAACTTCTTGAGATCCTTTCAACTCATGATTGCAAAGTTAAAGTAACGAAAGATAATTTGGGAGCAGTTATTGATCAAATAGCGCATTTGGAAATGGTTCAAGAACCAGCATTTATCAGAGAATGTCTTTTTGAGGTGCTTATAACTTACGAACTAGTTATGGATGTTGAAAAGGAGTTTCAGAAAATCACACCTACATCAAAGAAATTAATTTCGTCCCTTGAATGCGAAGAATTAGAATCTGATTCCTTCAAATATCTCAAACGATACATCCGTGAAATTGACACGGATACAAGGATGCTGCGCACCTTGCTTCGATTCTTAACAGCTAGTGATCTCATGCTGTATGATTCGGAGGGAATTTTTTTCAAAATTCAAGTCAAAATAGTTGACCTAGAGGGCATTGCAAGGAGACCTATTGCGCATACTTGTGGGAGAGTTTTAGACCTACCGAGAATATACGAGAGCTACACAGTTTTCAAGGCCGAAATGAATGCAATACTTAATTCCAACATTTGGGTTATGGATTTTGCATAAATTTGAATTTCGACATACATTTGAATGAAAGAGTAGATCTTTGTTTACTTTGTTTACATGTAACACAAAGAACAATTATGATTTTGCTTAGAAAAGGCAAATACTGTATTTCACACTGATTAAGTTAAATCAGCCACTTTATGGAAGTACTAATATGAGAAAATCATAAGTACATTTTATCATTTTTAGCATATAAAAAATATCTGTCTTTTTTAGTTCGTTGCAAATCTGGATTTTATTTTTCTTTGTTTCATGGAGGATTTTAGACTTTCCAAGAATGTTCGAAAGTGACACAGTTTTCAAGATTGAAATGAATGCCATGGTAATTCATTCTGACATTTTGGTTATTGATTTTGCATAAATTTAAATTTCCACATATAACTGAACGAAAGAGTAGTCGTAGATCTTTGTTTTCATGTAACATGAAGAACATGTTTTCGCTTAGGAAAGGCAAAAACTATTTTCTGGCTGGCGAAATTAAGTCAATCCATTTTTGAAGTACGATTTGAGAAAATCATGAGTACATTTTGTCATTTTTAGTTTATAAAAATTCTGCTTTTAAAGTTCGTTGCAAATCTAAGGATTTTTTAAAATTTTGTTTCATGTTTTCTTACATTTTATCATTTCATTTTTAGTTTATTCAGAAAATGTTTATTCATACCATGCTCATACTAGAAAGTTTGGCTTTTCAAGAATAAAAAGGACTATCTAATTAATGTGCACATTGCTTGCTTCATGCTTAAAATTTAAAAATGTTATGGTTCAATACCTATACCTTTTGGGCATGAAGTTAAATTAATGAACAATTTCTATGACAATCTATGACAACACATGAAAGTAGAAATACTTTAACATTTACTAGTAATTGGTAATTTGCCGGAAAAAACAATATTTCTATATAGAGTCAAATGTTTGAGCGCCAAATGAAGTTGTATTCAGTTGATGCGCACAACGAACCAAAAATATTTTATATATATTCATTGCGCACAATAACGGAATCTGGTTGTTGCCAGGTAGAAAAAACTATTTATCTGGCGGCCGCCATAAAATTCTTTTCTACCTGGCACCTACCGGCTTCCTTACACAATAACTGAAATGATGGTTATAAATTTAATTTGAGAAAGCAAATTAATCAAGCAGTCTGTGAAGTGAATCAAAGATAAATCATTATTTGTTTCAATTGTATGCGCTCATGAATTTATTTAAGGAAGCTCTAAACACTAACAAAAGGGTGCTTTTTGGACTTGGAGAAAAATATATTTACAGATGAGCATATTGAAACTATTTAATTCATTTTTAACATAGGGTACCTGACAATTTACTATTCGTGAGCAGAAATCACTGTTGTTTACTTACACTGGGAAAATTAATGGAAATAATGAATTCAATTACTTATTCTTGGTCAAATATTAATAATACTAAAAATATTTTAATCTATTGCAAATTGTTTAATTAACTGTAAATAACCATTTTTTTCTTCTATCTTACTTCTAAGGGCAGATCACTCTAACTGCAATAAACTAACCCTATAAATAGAACTCTTTTGTGTGCAGTGTTTAGAGATTCCTTAATACGGACAAGGATTCTACGGAAGCCGGCAATAAGAATATATTTTTGGCGTCCGCTAGATAAGTGTTCAGCGCCTGTCAATGCAATATCTGGCCGCCAGATAAAATTTGGGTTAACCATACACGTACGCTTGATTAAGTGCTACACATACATACTTTCGGTTTTATTCCTACACTGTAACATAAGCAAATTACATGTAGTTAGGTCTGAAATTATCATTAATGTCTGACTAAGAACATGATTTTAAATTCTTTGACCAATATTAATAAATTAAAAAAAAGTCATTGAATTTTCCTTTTGAATTCTACCTGGCACCTACCGACTTTCGTAGGATTCAATTATTGAGAGCATGCTTCCACATTAATGTTGAAAAAATGATATTTGAATAAATGATATTTTCATATTCACTTATGATATACTACATATATTATTTATGCCGCCCCGAACGAAGTTATTGGACATATGTTATAGTTTCACCTAAAGTTATAGTTTGTTATAGTTTCACCTAAAATTTTGTCTTGGGGAAATCTCACAGATGGCTAAATTAATCGTAAAGAAGAGAAGCAGTGTTGGTTATCAAAGATATAGCTGAGCAAGCAACCTTTAATACTTCAAAATTTCAGTGGTGCCGTGGAGACAGAATAAAAATGAAAAATTTAAATTTCATTCTTTATTGCAAACTGAAATGCCATTTTTAAAAAAAATATATTTATTATCAAATTTACCAAATATCTGATTTAATAATAGATTTTATAACAGATTAATCATAATAACCGTATTTATGTTACAAATCATTATTAAAAGCTGCTTATCCAATATACAGCAATATACAGCTGCATCCAATAAACGACATGTATCTAGGCTATAAAAGAAAAAAGAGAATTTATATTATTTATCAAATATACATATTGTATACAAGCACAGCGTTACAATTGCAGTCATAAATTGCTTCTGATATCCTCTCTGAGAAAAATAAACAAATTTTGCATGCTTTCTGGGTCTTGGGGCAATGCAAAATTGTTTTCTTCCATTATACACACACATAAATCTTTAATTAATGTAGAGCATGGCATTTCTGGCATTGGCTGTAATTCACTTTCACAAATATTTACTTCATTTTCGTTTATTTCAATACCATAATCCACGGTATCAAATGCGCTCGGCATATGATGTAGAAGAAATGGTCTACCACATCTGCTTATTCCTTGTCTGTATCGCCTAATCCTGTGACGGTTCCAGATAGAACTTATGTCGTCTAAAGTGTCCTACAATAAAATAACCCTACATGTACTTTTCTCAACTGGATTTTTTTGCTTATTTTTTAATAAACGAGTCCAATACTGAGAACAGACTAAAGTCAAAATTGGTAATTTAATTTTTGAGTTTATTGGGAAAAAAACAAAAGTGTAACTGGTATCATGTGCAGATCGCTACGCGATCATATTGTATCGCTATAAATGCTGTAGATCATCAGAATTTTTTAAGACCAGCTGCAGCTAATCCTATAACGCCTGAAGGGGACTTGGTCACATACCAACTTCAAGTCGTATATTCCAACGGACTCTCAAAAATTTTGTAATTTCTTATCTATAAAAAATGCACTACAGTGTATTTAGATTCCCATATGGAAATGCAACACGACATACAAGTACGACATCATGTGACTTTCTAGACCTTCGATGTGTCTCGTGCCGTTTGCCATTCGCAAAAAGTCACATGACCAACTTCATTTCAAAGAAAATTAAATGCTATTTTGTCAGTGTTGTCATATAAAGAAAGACAGTTGCAAATGTAGGTAGATATATTATCTTGAAACTTTTTATATATTTGTTAATTAACCATTAAAATGGTCAAAATAAACATTTTGAAATGTCTTTTCTCAGTCATGGTCTTGAGACCTAGTTATAAGCTAGCGCACCGCACACAGTTTCAAATACATTCTAATTTTCAATGTAGTGAAATTTTCTGTAGATTTGAAAGAAAGTGAATGGGCATTTTACCTGTACTTGTTGTAGAAAACAAAAGCGAGATATTTCTTGGTCTAAATATTCTCCGTCATGGAAACCACTTTCAGTAAGCTCTTGAAAAAAAATCATCCAGAACTGAATTCCCTGTCGTCGTATCATTCCCCATAAACTCTCAATTCTTTGGTTATTTATGCTTTTACCGTACAAAAAACTTCTTTCTCCAGCATGTTCATCTTCGTGGTTTCGTCGGAGAAACTTATGAATTGTTTCAATGTAAACGTTTTCGGTTCCCATATCAGCTCTTACACGTCTTGGGCATACCCCATATTTCCTGATACTCTCTATGTAATAGTGAGCAATAATATTTGGATTTTTATTAGACCCACCAGCTTTCAACCAAATAATTTGACGTGAAAATCCATCAATACAACCATGGATTTTTATTCCATACCTTGAAAGTTTATCGTATCCGTCGATATGCCAGACTGAGTTTGGACCTTTAACAGAGTATACCCGTCTTCTGAGTCTTCTCTTTTTTCTGTACTCAACACCTTCTGGATCTATAATATGCAACAACCCGAGGACTGTGTCTTGGTCAACAACAAATCCCCTTTCAAGACACTTTAAGTGCAACCAACGATATCCGTGCATTTGGCCATGCATTTCACATTGTTCAAGTATAAATAACGCTATCTGAAGAATATCACTCTTATATTTCCGTCGGTAAAGTCCCAAATTCTTTGTTATTCTTTTGAGTGTACGAATTCCTATGTTATATCCATGTAATTCATCCAAACATTTAATTATTTCACTGTATTTAAGGCCCAGTTTGAAATACTCTCCAATTAAATATTCCCGGTCCATACCTTCACAACAGATTATTTATATGAATAAGAAGATGTAAAAAAATAACCCTCTCTTTAAAGTGTAAAATTTACAGATTAAAGTGTAAATTTTACAGATCAAAGTGTGAAATTTACAGATTAAAGTGTAAATTTTACAGATTAAAGTGTGAAATTTACAGATTAAAGTGTAAATTTTACAGATTAAAGTGTAAAATTTACACATTAAAGTGTAAAATTTACACATTAAAGTGTAAAATTTACACATTAAAGTGTAAAATTTACACATTAAAGTGTAAATTTTACAGATTAAAGTGTAAAATTTACACATTAAAGTGTAAAATTTACAGATTAATGTGTAAAATTTACAGATTAAAGTGTAAAATTTACACATTAAAGTGTAAAATTTACACATTAAAGTGTAAATTTTACAGATTAAAGTGTAGAAATTAAAAAAAAATAAAGTGTCCAAGTGGCACTAATACGCTTCCGTAAAAGATGGAATTTATTACAGATTCTCATGTATTTTTATCTGATTGAAATAAAATTCTGACAAATGAAAAAAAAAAGATTTTGTGAATGTTGATAGAATCATAGAAATTGACTGAGTGTTCTTAATGTCTGTGTTTCTGTTATTCAAGCTTACATTAAAATGAACATGGCGTTTTGATCATGGCATGCATGCTTTATATCTTATACTTTCTAAATAACAAATATATGAAGCAAATAAAAAGAAATACTGCTATTATGCATACAATGTAATATTTTTGTGATCGCTACACAGTGAAAATAGTGTAATACATACACGAGTGGTAAACTGGGTAATTGTATATCATTTTGATCTAAGCCCTTTATGTTTGTTTGAAATTTTCTATGACTACAGCTTAATTAATTATGTTAATGATTTAGGCTCCCTCTAGTCTCCTTGATGCCTTAGAACAGCATTACCAGTCATTGGAAGGGAAGAAAGGGGTGACAACTCCAGTCAGTGGCTCCAAGTAAGTATCGGGGTAATCTCAAATAGGTCATCTCATTCTTCTTATAAGTTTCTATGTTTTATTACCATTTTATTATTGACATGAATCTTGTTGTGTTTATTCCAAATTGATATTGGGATAGTCACAGGCTACTTGTCGATGTTTTATAATTATGTTTCTCTATTTCATACCTTATCTAAGTGACATAGAAACTTTTTTTAGGTGGGTGACAATAAATTTTTAAGGTACTTGGTAAAAACTGAAAAACCATTGGATATGAACCTCTAAGAATAGGAATTATTTCTGCCAAAAGCATTCATTGTGCTTAACATACACATCTTGTTTATAGGGATATTTTTAAATTCTGTTTTGTAATTGAACTGTGAAATATTTCAAAATACACCTTGAAATGAGACATTGACTTGATGCCTGCAGTGAAGATCTGATATTGAGTGGTACTGCAATGCTTACACTGTAAGCTCTTAAAACAACACCTGAACATAGAAGAAATTATGACTGTCTGAACATTGTTCTTAATGAATTTTTTGCCCGCAGAAAAACTGTACCATCAATTCCCGTAAAACTGCATATGGCTTCCCAAACCAGGCAAAAATTCACAAATAAAAAAGATATTAATCTTGCTTTAAACAAAATTCTAGGGAGATGGAAAATAAAATGCTCTTTATAAAATATACTCCTTTGTGGAAATGCAAATATTATAATGTCCCAGTCTAGACTTGTACCATGTGGTTTAAAAAGACAAAGAATTTTCATGGTATTCAGTTATAATTACCCAACTGAGCTTGGCCAAGCAGTCCCACAATTAAACACATTATCTTTCACGCCCGTTCCTTTAGTTTGTAATGTTATCTGTTACAGCATATCTTTACCAGCGTAAGTATGACTTGTCATTGATAACTAAAGTCATTTCATAAGGGGAGGCAATCTTTGCTGTGTCTTACACTGTGTGTAGAGTTATCCTTCTTTGTCAATTTGACAGTAACCTGATTAACTTAGTGTTCTATATCTTTTTTCATCCATCATCATCATCAAATTTTTACCTTTTTCTATAAGCACCCCCCAAATTCCTATATTGAAATGAAAGGCCTTGTATCTTTCAAAGAAGAAATGATTGAGACATAGTAATTCAAAAAAAAAAATGTTAGATCATATCAGGATCATTGTCAGGATACAGGGTTACAAAAGGGGGGCAATGCTTTGAATTGTATTAAAGAAGAATTCAAACCAAAGAAAAACAAATTGTCTGATTATTATGAAAATATCCTTAAAGTTGCATAATGAGTCAAAACCATGTGTTTCTTTTAAGAAAATTGTATCACAAAACAAAAGATTTCTGTGAAATATGAATATGTCGAAGTTTTGACAACTCAACTGCACTGTAAAGCAAGAAAAAAACTGCATTATATAAGTGCCGGAAAAACAAATGTTGTATCTATCGCTTTGTTTTTATCGTCAATGTCAACAATGTCAAGGTCACGCGTCCTTTATTTTTAGCGTGAAACTTTTAAACAATACTGAATTGGGGCAAGCAGAAGTAAGGAATAAATTATAATCATCTTTTTTAAAGATTGTATCAAAATTCTCAGTCACCCGACATTTATATCTATGGAATTGAAACCATGGTAAATTCTTCAACTTTTCAGCGCATGCGTACAATAAAGAGGAAGAAGTGAAGCAATATTTTTGTGATGGGTTATATACAAAGATTTTTTTTACTTTTATTTTTCTCAATTAAATTTTTTAGTTTCTGAAACCTGTAATTTTCTGAAATCTAATATCTTCAAGAACTGAACAAAATTTGCATGTGTCATGCAAAAATTCTACTTTTGTCAATTTTCCCGTTTGTCCGTCACAGTGTCACTTTAAGTAGTTCATACATTGTATTTTGCCAGCCATTGCTGTTGGGACCAAGTGATTTGGGTTCTCAAGTTTTTAAAGAAAAAAAAATCATATGATGAGGGTCAGGAAAACCTGCCCTGGACACTAATAATGACACCACATCTGTTCTGAGTAATTGTTGTAGAATTCTGTATTTAGAATTAAAAAACAGGTATAAAAACAAAACATGATAATAATAATGACACCCCCCCCCCCAGTAAAAAAAAAAAAAATTAATAATAGAGGAAGGAAAATTATTTAAACAACCAAACTTGTTTTTTTCTGCAGGATAAACTGAACTGTTGTGGTGTTCATTAACAGATGAGATTCTCTTCTCTCTCTACATCAGAGCGTAACCCTCTCATAACTATTTAATGATGTTAATAACTAGCACTGGGGAGTTGTGCTATTTTCATTTCTAGACATCTCGCTATAAGAAGGAGTAAATGTCATTTTCGCCTGTAAATGAAATACATGTAACTATTGAAGTGTCATCGTGTGGACCATTTTGCAGTATTAACTCACAGAGTGATATGGAGTTGGATTGTGTTCATTCACAAATGAAGGGAAAGTGAAATTCTTTCTTTCTTTACCAAGACTTAGTTATCATAATTTTTTTTCCAGCACAAGTTAACCTTGATTAGGGCTCTCACACCAACTAAAGCTGGTTGTACACAATATTGACTTGTGATATGAATATTTCCATAGTTCAGTGATAATGAATGTAAAATGATTATTTATTTATTTTGTGTCCTTAGGCCCGTGGGTTTTGCAGCAGCCATCAGAACTATTTCTAACAACACGCCAACAATAAATGTCTCTGAGGAGGAACTCCAGCGAATTCTGGACGAGGAAAATGCCCGTCTCCAACAGCTCAAGGTAGACAACTCCTCCCATAAAACTTCAGCTATTGCTTGTTGTTTTGCTAGTTGCCAAAATTTATCAGTGCATTTTGTCAATTTTTTTTATTTTATTATTATTGTTGAACAAATTCTGTCATTTTTATTTATTCCTTACAAAACTAACCAAAAGTTACTATAAATTTCTACTGGTTGGAAATTCACCTCGTTAAAATTTAATTGAAAAGAATGTGGCACAACTAACTCTTTAACTTTATGTTGTTTATATGTGTAGATTTTAATCTATTTTGTTGGTCATTAATTATTACTCTGTTTTTGATAATTTTTTATAAAATTTTTGTTGCATGTAAGGTTGATTTATAAAACAAACTCAGAAAGCATAGATATTAAGATAAATGAAATATAAATGTTACCAGCTAGATCATGTTATCTTGGAAAACAAAACCAAAGCAGGCTCAGTAAACATTGAACACTAGAACACAAAAGTAAACTGAGATTTATTTAAAATGGAGGAATGTTTGTAAGATATTTCTGTAATCGTGCTTTGAGTTTTTTTTCCAATAAAAGGAATCTTGTCAGAAAAGCTAGTGAAATGCTTTCCATTCAAACCAAGTGGCCTTTAACAGTCTAATATACATAAATTATGAAAAAAGTTTATTTTAATGAATTTGAATTGCATCCTTTGGTTTGATTGGTTAGTAGCAAGCTTATAACTATATTTCATTGGTTACTGATGATCCTTGTTGCATTTGATTGGTCAGTGGCTTCCCTGACTGATTGCTGTAGTGTGCATGTTGTTATGCTGATGTCTGACTTTTCTCTTTCTTATCCACTCCTTCAGAAGGAACAGCTTGGCAAGAGCACTGCTGACTCTCCAAATAAGGTAATACTTCCTGTTTAAGACATGGGACATTAAAGGGGTCTTCTCAACAGCTGATCAGAATATCAAGTCAGGGATCTTCTCATCAGCTGTTCAGATTATTTGAAGCAGTTTATAGAGTTTTCTGGTTAAGATAAAGTGAAATAAAATTAAAAGATTTTTTTTTTATTTTGGACTGGAAAAGTGATAAAAATGGATCAGAATTATTAAAGAATATCAGAAGATTACAGAGGTTTTATGCTTCACTGTTCTACAGTAATTTCTCAGTTCTACTGGAACTCTGCAGTTACTGTAGAATTTTGTGTGACATGATAGATTGTGTAGACAAGTGTGTAGTGCTGTAGTCAAGTTAGTAAGATGGACAGGTAAGGATCTACTGTA